ACGATGATACCGTTTATCGTGGGTACTTACGAAATGCACAAAGTACCTTACGAATCGATTGCAACCCCGGAGAAACAACTCATTATTTTCATGGCTTGGATCCAAGAGGAAGAAAACGTGAAAGAAAAAAAAAAAAGAAAAAAAAGAAAAGGAAAAAGGATAAAGATGATGAAACGCGAGACCAACGAAAAGAGTCTTTTCTTTGTTTTTTCCGTTTTTCCTTTTTCTTTCTTTCTTTCTTTTCTTCTTTCTTGTCATTCTTTTACAGGTTTACTCGTTTTTTCGCAAACGCAACCTGATTTTTTGACATTGCTCCTGGCTCCGCCGAGATCGAACCGATCTCTTCGTTCCTCGGCATTTTTCATTCTTACAATCAGTAAAAAAAAATATAAAAGGGAAGAGAGAGAGAGAGAGAGAGAGAGAAAGAGAAAGAGAGAGAGAACGTTTACCAGGTGTCATCGACCTCTCTCGGTTTCTCACGCGTTTGCTCGAGAAGAGAAAGATGTACATACATACATACATACATACATGCATACATACATGCATACATATATGCATGTATGTATGTATCTATATGTGTATATATGTATGTATGTATGTATGTATGTATGTATGTATGTAGCATCACCTGTCTGCGAAAACAGGTGCCTATTCATACGACGAGATCATTCTCTCTCTCTCTCCTTTCTGCCTCCCGTTTTCCTAGACTCTTCTCTTTTATTTCGTCTTCTCCTTCGTCATTGAAAAAAAAAAAGAAAGAAAAGAAGCTGAAGCTTAGTAGTGTACACAAGGTTCGTTTAAGTCCAGAGTAATAGACTTTTTCGAGACGACGACGACGACGACGACGCTGCCAAGGAACAACGATGACGTTGTTGTTATTGTTATTGTTGTTGTTTTACCTTTGTTGTCGTACCTTTTAACTTCATTCTTCTCAAGTTCATCAAGGTGCATCAGATCTTAAATAAATTTTTAAATGCGGATTAACATCATTTATTTTGCATTCTCCGGGTCGACAAAGGAACTTGATACTTTAAGGATCAAGATTATATATATATATATATATATATATATATATATATATATCTACTTTATCATGTTCTATCTCACGGATATGTATGTGTTACTAATAGTTTTGATTTCTCTTTCTCATAGACGATCCCGATGCTGCTCCATCATCAGACGCACCTACGAATCGTCACTTCCGGAATAACTCGCTTTACGGGTAAGTTCGCAAAAACTTGAAACAAATAAAATTTTTTCTCTCTATTTTTTTTCTCCTTTTCTCTCTCTCTCTCTCTCTCTCTCTCTCTCTCTTTCTCTCTGGTCTGACCTCTAACTAAAATCGACCGTAGCAATGAACAGACGAAAGAGAGAATCGTACCCACGTGTAAGAAAGGAAATAAAAGAAAGAAAGAGATTTGCATGATTACGGTATTTTCTTGAGTCTTACAATATTCCCCAACCAGTAGTAATAGTGGTAGTATTTCTCTTCTTACTTTCCATTTACATGCACGCTCGATCCCGATTTCCACAAAATACTAGATAATTATGCCAAGACAGCGAGCAAAGAGAGAAAAAGAGAGAGAGAGAAAGAGAGATCTTAACGAAGATTAAACGTGATTTGTGTATACACTAATTTTCATTTTATACTTCGCATTTTAATGAAGCCAAAATCTTCCTTTCTTCAATTACTTGAAAAATATAGAAAGAAGTAGGATCGTCTCGACGAATATTTAAACTGTGAATAAATTTGTTTGTAACGGTATCACGATCGAAATATTTATTATATACAATTTTTCAAGAACCCGATTATATTACTGGACTGGCAGCTGCTCGATATTATTTTAAAGATATAAACGTTACCGTATAATATCGTCTTGCGATAATGTTCTTACGAGAACAAGCGAAAAACAAAATTAGGCGGATAAAATTGATTAAAAATTTAACGCCGTAAGATGCATATTCGTTGAGAAACATTGGTAGAAGGATTAAGGATCCATAAAATGTATGGGTCACTTTAAAAAAAATTGTCTGATTATGTTAAAAGAGAATATTGAAATCTCGACACTAATAATAATGACTACGACGACGACTACGACGACGATTTTAATGAAAGAGAAGTTTCGCGACTCTTGCGGAAATGATGATGCGGCGGGGAGTTCGAGCGGAATTAGTGGAGCGGACTAGAAGCAGATAGAGAGTTTAAAGTATAGTAGTAGAGTAGGTATATGTATGAGCAGCCAAGTCAGGCTGCCATTACTCTGACAACCTTTCGTTCGGGTTTTGCGTCGCACTCCTTCGACACCGGTTCTCTGCCACGTACGTTCTCGTAGTAAACGTATCTTTCTTTGCTCTTTTCTATCTACGTTTGCAACTAGAAGTAGTAGATGAAAAATATTAAGAGGCGGAAAAACGTCGAGAGATTACATTCGTGAACGCGATACTTACGTAACGACGACCGTGCAGTAAATTTTATATGCAAAGCTTTACCGAGATTTTTTTTTCTGCGTTTTATTTATTTATGCATTGTTTTTTTTTTTTTCTTTTCTTTTCTTTTCCTTTCAATGCATATTTTCATCTAAAAAGCTTGGAAGAGTTTTAAATATATTATAGAAAACGTCACCGTTCGAGTGATCCGATCGCGGTTACGTTATTTCGTAGGGGTGCATAAAAAAAAATGGAGTACAAACGAAAGGAAACACATACGTATGTATGTATGGTACATGATACATGGTGCAGGATAAAGGAGTGTTTAGAGAAAGCGTGATGTGAACAAAGATTGTTACAAAGAAACGATAGATTTTGATAGCGGAGGATATTAGAAGAACGACGAGTAGCACGTGGGAAGAATGTTTTTGTGTGTGCGCGCACGCGCGTTCTGTGTGTTGTATGATTCTGTGTGAACGAATGCAAGACAAGATAATGCGAATGGACGGACGTACGAATGGTCTTTGTTTAGGAACAGAAAAGAGGCACAGTCAGAGCTAAAGAATCAAAGAGTAACAGAGCTGAAGAATCAAAGAGAGTCCCGATATATACAGGGTTATCCTATTCCGAAGTTCCATATACAATTATAACATTTCCTGAACTATAGTTCGTTTGAGAAAATATTTCAAATGAAACCTATTTTGTTTCGTGGGACGAGGAAAGGGATGCGCTAGGACATCCTACGTCGGTCACAAATTTTCTCTGAATGAACGTCCTTCTGAGGCTTCAAGGTGACTTTAGTTTTTTACCTTTCTTTTTTTTTCTCTTTTTTTTTTTTTCATTTACATAAACCGTATGTTTTTATTCGAGTACTCGGGTTGGTCCATACCCGGAGAAATTCATTGACCATAACATTGGTATTTCAAGGTAGTTCAAGTTCTATCAAAAAAAAAAAAAAAAAACGAAATATATAATATATTAAAATTATGTATTTGAAATGTTATTTATTATTATAGTATTTAAATGAATTTGCCAGATTAAACGAGTATCTATTGACAATTTTTTTCCTGTTCGAACTATCATCGATCTCGTATAAATAAATCATTTCATATATCGCTCATAAATAAATTATTAAAAAAAAAAATAAAAAAAATAAAAAAAATAAAAAATATTTATATTAAATAAAATGTTTATCTAAAAGAACATATATATTATATATGCATATATCCTGATATATTTTGCGGTAATTTTATTAAAAGACATACGATTTATTTCAAGTCCTGTATCAAACGTCACCGTGTGATCCGATTGCGTTACGTTATTAGCATTAATCGGTTCACCATCGTAACGGTAATCCTCGAATGACCGTCGATCGTCCCGTCGTAGTGCATTCTAACGCATTTAATCGGATGATGACGTGCAACTTCTCGGTTAAATTCTCAAAGAGGCGACGAAAAGGATAACTACGAGAAGATGACGATGTAAACTTGTTTGCACCAGAAAAATTTCTTGGGACATCGAACGCAATTTTAATTAGCTTAGATTGCCAATTAAAATCATAAATAAAACTTTTATATCTTTCAATCGTTCGATGAAATCGGATTTAATTTGGTAAGATTTAAATATCAACGAGTTAAGTGATGTATTGTACGATTATTCGATTATTACGAGAACGATAAATATAATCGCGAGAGTTGAATCAACCCATTTGATACGTAGCTACGTACAAATAATAACCACCATCACGACCTTTCTCCATTGCACGATCTTGTGCACGAATGTGCACCATTACGCGACATAGAGAGACAATGCCGTAGCACGGTATCAAGTATTCGTATGTACTTACAACTTGGCGAGACTTCCCATTACTCGTGATCGTATGTACGTATATACGTATACATATCTATATATTATATGAGATAGAGAGAGAGAGAGAGAGAGAGAGAGAGAGAGAGAGAGAGAGAGAGAGAGAGTGAGAGAGGCGAAATAAGAAAAGCGTAGAGATACGGAAGGAAACATATCGTCGGTTGCACGACTAAGTGAAATTTTCGTCGATTATTATTGATTCATAATCGATCGTTTTGTTTTGCAGGCGAAAGTCCAAAGGACAATGTTGTCGTATATGTTACCAACGGAGGACAAACCACCACCTGGAGAACCAAATCAAAATCATCAAAAGACTCAGGGAAATTATCGGAACGCGAGCAGGATACAAAAGAGTCCTCGAGAACAGCAGCCGATACGGCAAAAGACTACGGCTGCCTCCTCTTCCATAACCATTTCCGTTCCAACGACCTCGCCGAAAAAACTCGTAGACGGAACTAGAATTATGATAGTGTCAAGCAGAATCGAGGATCAACAGCCGAGCTCGATGGATCGTCATCAGCAACAACACCCTTTGCCTTCGGAAAGTCCGAAGCACAATGGTACATTAACGAAGAAGTCTACCCTTCATAATTCAACAAGGGTAACCAAGGACGACAGTCTTTACAGCATCGACAGCGACGCGAGTACGGTCGGTAGCGATCGGAAGAACAAAATTCTAAACGGTGCGAAACACGCCAGTCTTAAGAGGTAAGGGAACCAAGTTCTCACTCCTTCGGCCAAGTTGCGAGCTTAAGTTAAGCAAGAGTAGTAGAGGGAGGCGGGGGCAGGCAGATCGAAAGATGGAGATAGAGAGAGTTCAAAGGTCATCCGAGAGCACCTTTCTAATTCGGTTCTGCTGGCTCGGTCTTTAACCTCAGGCCTCTTCGCTCTCGCACCAGATGCCACGTTATATCGAATCTCCCTTTCTCTCTCTCTCTCTCTCTCTCTCTCTCTCTTCTTCTTCTTCTTTCTCTTATCTTTCTCCTCTTCGTGAGATTTACTTTCGCGTGGTACCTAACTTTACTGCATGACTGCAACATCGTACAAACACGGTCTATAAATTCATGTCGAAAACGTCAGGAATGAAGAATCCCTAACCCGTATCTCTTTACTTTCCTTATTTTCAATTTATTAGATATCACTTGGACGATTCCTTATATCGTTATTTATTATATGATCATAATCGTCATCGTTAAAATTGATTTTATAACAATACATATGCCCGTTACTTTTACTTGAATCAATACAGATCATAAGGATTTGATTTAGTTCTTTAATTGCGTCTCGATCAATCTAGCTAATGATATATCTGTTATATCGAGTCTTGGACTATCTAGGACAAGAGAGACAAAAACGTATTACCAACTAAGTTACACAACGGAATTGCGATAATGATTTATAAATACATATTAGTTTGTCTTGGCTTATAATACTTCGACGTGTTCCTGCTTTTATATCATTTGAAATTAAAACCAGATAAATCTCGAAATAATATTTATCTTTTTACGTATAAGCGATCGTCAAACAAGCGCGCTGAATACGCATGTGTATACTCTTGTGCGTATAAATTTGACGAATTTTTTTTTCTTTTTTTTTCGTTTTAATCTCTCGTTTTCCTTAAAAAGAAAAAAAAAAGAAAGAAAAATAAAGTAATGGACATTGTGTCTATTAGAGAAGACACAAGATTGCGTTTGACCGACGGGAAAAGTACAAGTGCCAAATCTAATGGCGAAAGTGCCAAGTGTTGCAACAGAGTGAAGTTCCTACTCGCTTTTGAAAGGCGATTGCATCGACCATGTATAAGAGAAGTCGAGGGAGAAATATCGAAAGGTCTTCGCGTACGTTCGTAAACACATCGAAAGAGAAGGAGAGAGAGAAAGAGAGAGAAAGAGAGAGAAAGAGAGAAACAACGAAGCGAATATAATGGCAGCTTTGTTATCGCTTACACGACTTTCTTTCACGATGGAGCGCCTTTTCGTACCTCGTGTCTCGAGATCTTTTACGACATTTATACGTGGGGATAGGTCAGGGTCAATCGTCGTAGAGTCCTCGTTGAGTTTTTATAGAGCTTCTTACGTGGCGGATGGAAAATAACTGAGGGGTCCGATTCGTCCAACGTTTTGATTGTCTAGACTAGAATAAAATATGATATCAAAATTTTTTTTCTTCTTTCTTTTTTTTTTTTTTGCCTTCATATATCAATTTTTTATTTCTTATACCACCTACGTTACAATTAAGCGACGATTTAATTCATTAAATGTCGTCTTTAAAGCTCGATTTAGTAATACGTATTTTGGTCCGTGCAACTTAATAAATCTGTTAGAAACGTACGTTATAATCAAGCGAAACGAATAATTTCACAACGTCGGGTACAAAAACATCAAGTACTTATTCACTGAAATTGCTAAAAGCTCATTTCGCTTCGCGACGAAATTCATTGCCAGAAAATTATTGCGTGTTGGACTTTGCTCTTCCCTCTCTCTCCCTCCCTCCCTCCCTCCCCCCCCCCCCCCCCTCTCTCTCTCTCTCTTTCTATTTTCGTACGTCGTGGATTTTTAACAACAATGATTTATACCGGAAATATGTATTTTCAACGTTACTTAGAACACGAAGTAATCGTCGATTATTATTCTCATATCGGTTGAAAATATTTTATTAAAATATTATTTCAATAAATAATATTAGTCGATTAACGGATAGTAATTTACGTGGTATTAAATTTAATATCTATTGATTTAGTATCCAACCAGGGTTTGCTAACTTTCGTTATCTCTTTGGGGATTTTTGACTATAAGATAGGTCACCCTTGACTGAGGTTAACCAATGATCCCTTAGCATTGTATCTTTCATTGAATCTTTCAAAGGGTTAACCATATCAACTGTATCTCTCAATTCTAGTGCACTTTAGGGGTACATCAAAAGTGGATCGATAAAAGGAGCCAGCCGGTCAGCTAGCAGCTAGACTCGACCTCGACCCCGACCCACCCCAACCTCGATCAATCCAGATACTTACCTTCGTGTCCGAACCCCTTACGTCCTTCTCACCTTTACGTTAGTCTCGACAACACCTTTTGACGTCTTATTACTTTGGCTTATTTTTTTCTTTTTTTTTTTTCTGCTTTCTTTTTCTCCTCGTCCATCGAACGAAATCACAACATTGAACGACTTTCGACTTCGTCGAAATCCTCCGTTCTTTAAGTTACACGATCGAACCGTAATCGATGCAATTTAGAAAAAATATTCTTTTACATAGATTACACTTTTATCGATATACATTTTATTATTTCTTATCGTATCAGATAGTTAATCGTTATTTATCATTTAATAATAGAAATGATCGAGATGATCTAATCGGATAAATCTTTTCTAAACGAGGAAGTTGGAAAATGGAGGAATCATGATAATAATATCTTTTAATAATATCTTTAGTTTTGATCTTTCTAAGCCTTTCGAAGGAGTAAAAGGAAAGTAACCATTAACGGTTGTTGCGACCGATTCATTCTTCTTTCTTCGGTCGTCTACTCGGTTGAACGTAATTTCTAACAGCAGCAGGAGCACTAGCAGCAGCACTAGCACTATAGCATCAACCAACAAGCAGCAGTAACAATAGTAGTAGTAGTAGTAGTAGTAGTAGTAGTAGTAGTAGTAGTAGTAGTAGTAGTAGTAGTAGTAGTAGTAGTTAGTAGTAGCAGCACCAGAAGAGTCTTTCGACTTCCGTCTTCTAAGTTTCTTCTTTACCTTGAGAACGAACTTAGCCTTCTTCGAGGTCTCGCTCGGTCGAGTCGAGGCGCGAGGGTCCTCCTCTAAATTACTACACTGTACCTCTTACTGTAAGAGACGGGGTTGAAGAATTATAGGAGGAGAAGAAGGAAGACAGAGAGCGAGAGAGAGAGAGAGAGAGAGAGAGAGAGAGAGAGAGAGAGAGAGAGAGAAAGAGAATAGTGAAAGGGATGTAAGGGAAAAGAGAGAAGAAAGAAGGAAGAGAAGAAGAAAAGGAGAGAGAAACCACGATAGTCGAGCTATAGCTATGCTTACTCGCTCGCTCGCTTGCGGAACCCTTCTTGCTGCTTCGCGATATCGAATCAGATCTATTAGCTTCTGCTTTGCTCCGCTCGTCTGCTTCGTTAATGGCGCACAGAAACGTTCCACCACCATCTCTCCTCCACCTTCTCCTCCTCTTACTCCACCTTCATCTCTTCCTCCTCGACATTGGGGGAGAAAACAAAGGCACCCACGTCTCGCGAGAGTTGGCTTCTCGAATGTTACGATCCACAACTACGAGGATAATTTCTTGATTATCATGATTAAAAGAGAATTAATTAATAATCGACCTTACGATTATTATTTTTATTAAGTATATTTATTATATATTCGTATAATAATCAATCCATGTCAATCTATAGATATATCGTTTACTTTCAATTGTCAATTGTCAAGGGAAAAATCGATCCTTCGTTCAAAGTATCCGTAACAACACTTTTCATTTACTGATTTTTCATTCTTTCTTTCTTTTTCTTTTTTTCTTTTTTTCTTTTTCTTTTTTTTCGCCGCGATAAAAATGGCAATGCGAGAGTTATGCAATGAGCAAGATATATTCCCGTTAAAGGGGAGGAATCCGAGGATGAAAATAGAGTTTAAAGGGAAAGCTTTGATATTTCTAATGTTCCAAATTATTTTCAAACAGTTTTTTTTTTCTTCGTACATTTATATCGAAGTTCACCGTTCAAGAAGGAAAAAAGAAGAATAAAAAAAAAAAAAAAAAAAAAAAAAAAAAAGACGACAAAAATAAACGTCGGAAAAAAAAACAGTCTTCCAACTGGCGGTTACCGGGCGTAATACGCGATAACATCATCGCCAACGACGATTGCGTAACATTTAATTAACCGACTTCGCAACGGCGTAGATCGCAAAGTCGAGATTCGGTGCACGCCACGTGAGATTCCTTTTTATCTTCACTTTTTCTCTTTTCATCTCTTCTTTTTTCATCTCTTCCCTTTTCTCTTCTTCTTTACCCTTTTCCTCTCGGTTATGGTTCGTTCAATGACGCCGCCAACAACGACGACGACGACGACGACGACGACGAGAACGACTACGAGGAAGAGGAAGAGGAAAGACATAAAAAAAAAAAAAAAAAAAAAAAGAAAACAAATAAACAAACAGAAAAGAGAAAAGAAAAGAAAGATCTATGCGATGAAAGGATACTTTGCGGTTGGGAAAAGTGTCTAACTGTCTAACGATGGAACATAACTTCCGTCTGTTTTACGAGATCTCACGGAGGAACATCTAACAATCTAACAAATTAGCTCTTTAATCTCGTATCTCGAATCTCTTCTTACTTGCGAGAGTAATTAGTCTTTTCTTTTTTTTTCCTCTCTCCTTTTTCCTGTTCTCTTAATGTCTCTGAAAAATGTTTTCGATGAGGCAATCTCTTTGACCTCGTTCGTTTCAACGACAATTTTTTATCGAATCATTTTTCTTTTCTTTCCTTTCCTTTTCTTTTTCCTCTTTTTTTTTTTTTTTTTGCTTTTTTAAATATTTGAATAAATTTGCCAACTCGGCGGGTATTTATTAAAACGGATATGTACTTAAGTGTTTCTTCTTGTTTTCTTTTCTTTTTTCTTTCTTTTTTTTTTTTTTTTTTTTTTTTTTCTTTTTTTCTTTTTTTTTTTTTTTTTTTAAGAAATAGAAAATATTCGAAATGTCAACGTGACCGCGCCAATGGGAAGCGAGAACGCGACTAGAACAAGCGTGGCGATTCGTAGTTACGTCATCGAGTTAGCACACAAGCGTGTTGCGCTGACATATTACACGTAAATAGAAAGTGCATATATATATATGTGTTTATATATATATATATGCATATACATATATATATGCATATATACACACACCATATGTGGCCTGTTTATGTGTATGAATGCGTATATGTGTGTTCCAATCGTGCAGTCTACTCCAGAAGTGCAGCCAAGACCACGTGACTTTGACACATTGCCGCGATTGAGTTTGACGAATTGACCGCTACGTGGCAGCACTGCTTGGTCATTTCTTCTAACAACATTGTATAGTAAAAGTAAATAGACAGATGTATGTGTATATACAATAGTATATAAGCGCAAGTACTTTGAATTTACTAATCCAACTCGTATGTTTGCTAATTGATAATCACCTCGCTCGTCAAACCATTACGAGGTTATATTTGAAAAAATATTAGAATTGACGATATTATATTTTCATTAATCATCTTTCCTTCCTTTCTTTTTTTTTCCTTCATCTTTCTATCTTTTCCCTCTTTTCTTTAATTCATGCGGCTATATAAATATATACATATATATATATATATATATATATATATATATATATATATATATTGAATTTATAATCGCGCAGTTTGGTACAAGGTTGTATAATAAAAGTTTACATATAGTCAGCTAATAATAAGATTACTTTAATAGTGTTTGAATCTTTTTTCAACAGACCTACCGACCAACCGATCGATTCTCGTGTTATAGCCAGTTACGATTTGCTGTTAAAGTTGGGAACGACGTATGAACCTTACCTATTTATATATATAAATAGATACGATTTCTATACACACACACACACACACACTCACACACACATGTATATATCTATATATATATTCTTTTATTTAAAGTTACTTCTATATTTATAATGTAAATTATATATATATATAGAAGTAACTTTATAATAATATATGATGTAAATTATACTTATACATATATATATATTTTTTTTTTTCATTTTCGGCGATTTAATATCTCCAAGAACATATAAAGAATCTGTCGTTAAAATAAAATTCCTTCCCAATAGGAAGATTGAGATTCGGATGGAATCAATAACATCTTCCTTCGTATGACTGTATGTGCATAAATACACACACACACACACACACACACATATATCTGTCTCTGTCGTACTTGAGTCCTAGTAATCCGATCTTTCGATCATGGAATTTCAATTTTGATATCGGGCCGCCTAGCTCCTGCGGTCACCGACTCGTCTGTCTCCCTTACTTCGACTGTCACACGATAGGAAACTGAGGTTTATGAACAATATTTTTACGATCTACATATATAAGAGGTAATAGTTTGAGTCTACATCTCGTGAAAAACAGACAGACGGACAGACAGACAGACAGAGAGAAAGATAGAGAAAGAAGTAAAGAACGTAAGGTTTATTAAAAGAATAAGTAAAAAATGTAAGAACAAACAGTAGTATTAAATTTTTTATCGTCAAATATAAAATTTTTAAAATAATTGTTCATTAATTTCCTTTTTTTTCTACTTCTTTTTCTTTCTAGAGTGTCCTTTGGCTCCAGCAAAGGATCAATGGTGGAAACTCTTGTTTACGAGACTCCTGTTCAAGAGGAACCCGAGATCAATCACTTTTTGGACCACAATGGCCGCTTACCTCCACCCATGATACCTGTACCTGACACCGAGTAAGTCAATCGTATGAAGCTTTTTGGAAAAAAAAAGAAAAAAAAAAATACGCCTACGCGTTCGTCCTCCTTGCTTGTTTGCTTGCTCACTCTCTCGCTCGCTCGTTCGCGTGCGTTTTCGATGACGTCATTAACACGGCGCACCTAGCACCGAAATAACGTTTCGCCTCAATCGAAACGTAAGTACGTGCACTCAGGGCGGCGCTCCTAATCGCGAATAAAAATCGATATTTCGCATTGCTAAAGCTATTATCCTAATCGAATAGTATTTAATAGTTCGTTAATTAGAATTAATGGATAAGAGTATCGAATAATCCTAACGGTGGAATCTTTGTCTTGAATTTTCATTAAAACTTCCTCTTTCGAATGAGAAACATTTTCTTTTTTTCTTTTTTTTTTTTTTTTTTTTTTCTTCTATTCAAAGAAAATGTTTCCATTATTGAACATTTACAAGTGGGTTTTCGTTTTCGTCTTCGTCAAAGAAGTTCGCCGGAAATAATCAGGCAACGTCTGATGCAACTTTCTCAAGGTGGAACTTCTTCGATAGGAATCCGAGATACAGACGTTACGACGGTTAACGTTGATCAAAGGCCCATGCTAGTATATTAATGTTAAACTTTATAGAAGTCAAACAGATCTTCTTCTTCTTCTTCTTCTTCTTCTTCTTCTTCTTCTTCTTTCTTTTTTTTTCCTTCTTCTTTTTCCCAGAGCAAAAGGCAAGAAAACAAATTTTCTTTCAGAAATACGAAATCACGATATCTCTGACACATTTCAGAGTTTCCTATAATACAAACGGAAATTTCCTGGATATTCCTTCTTTTAAAAATAGAGAAAGAGAGAGAGAGAGAAAGAGAGAGAGAGAGAGAGAGTTCTCACGTCGAAACGGCGAGACTCGCTTATTTCGCGAGCTGGAATGCAAAAAACGATAAAGACACATTGAAAATTTACGAGAAAATCATTTTTTAAATCTCTTTACTTATCTCTCTCTCTCTCTCTCTCTCTCTCTCTCTCTCGATCGCATATTTTCCTCTCTGTTACATTCGTCCAATAATATCTCAAATCGAAGATTCGAGACTTATAGGACTTCACGTATCGATACTAAACCAACCAGTTTTCTAAAACGTTTCTATTTTCTCGATCCTCTTTCCATATACGTTTTTCATACATATGTATGTATATAAGCATATATCTATTTTCGTTTTTTCATAATAAAGATTCCGCAATTCATTTCATAGCAATGACGAGATACCATTACGTATTCCCGACGCGATGTCTCGTCGTTTAACCGGATCAAACGTGATAATGATCGTACGGTACGATAAGTAGCCGCCTATTAAGAGAGAACCGTACGTAGGTGGAGACTTTGAGGTGGTAGGTAACGCGTACTCCCATGCCGCATCCGTAATTGTACACTCGTGAGATAGAAAGAAACCAATCGAGAATATTTTCTCGAAAAGAGATTATCGTGGATAAGCACGTTTCTCGAAATGTTTCTTCCTTTTACACAATTTCCATCTTTTTTTCTTTCTTTTTCTTTTTTTTTTTTCCCCCTATCGCGAACGTAAATGAATAAGGTTCTCAAATGGCTTGATTGACTTTGAAATTATCATTATAATTAGACTTTAATTGCGGTTATATGCAATATACATTTATCGCTCTAAACTACGGCATATCTTTGCAAGGTCATCCCCTATTGAAAGGAACGCCTTGCAAACCGTTCACATATGTATCTATATATATATATATATGTAGATATTTTGCGACGCACCTCGCGACCACGTGATGCTGTGGCGTAGCGAAGTTTCGATAATAACCCGTTGTAGGTTTCGATTAGTCTCGTTACTTTGATTACTCCGTTACTACGATCGTGAATAGTTTCTTGGCTCATCGTCGACGGCTCGAATAGAAAATTAAGAAGATTCTTCTTGTGCGCGTACGAGTTATCGGGAATCCGAACTAAATCGTATAGTTAGATGTCCAGTTTGATTTCAAAACTTTTCTCAAAAGTAAAGATCAATATTGAATATACCCTTCAAAAATTACTACGTCATTGTTTATCCTAATAATAAAAATTTCTATTATCGTTTTTATCACCGATTAAAAAAAAAGAAAAAAAAAAAAAAAAGAAAAGGAAAAAAAGAAGCGATTAAGGAAAGACGAAAAGACGAAAAGAAAAAGATATTTAACGATTATGAGAAAAAGAGGAAAATAACAATGATTCAAATTTACCGCCCGATCATATCTCCATATCGATTTGAAGAAAATTATCGACAGCGTCGTGAAA